GAAACTAGTCGAGCAGAAAGAGAAGGCTCTTTGATTCAGCATCATCATGCAGTCAGCATTACGTGAGAATTGCTGTAGACGGCCAACATCAATGAAACCACGGATGCCAGAACCCTTTGAATTTTCCGCAAATAGCCAAACACCATCTCTGTTCATCAGCAAGAAGAGGAGAAATTCATTGTTTTACAAAGCCCTGACCAGAAGCTGCCACCGACGCGTGCTAATGTTTGGGATTAGCTTTTTTGTCACACAAAGTCTACGCATCAATATTTATTCAAGCTTTAAAGTTATCCGATGAAATATTCACCACATTTGGGACATTCGAAATGTCTCTAAAGGGGCCTCTGTTGATCTGCTAAATGAGAGACCTGCCGGTGCTTTGGGTATCTAGCTCAAAGTGAACATTAAATCAAACCCAGATTGTGCAGAATGCATGTGTGATCTATCTATTTACACATGCACATAGACACACAAATACCTTTTTTGTACGTCTATGCAGTGCAACACAGAAACTGAACATCCACTCATTTGTTTGGATGAACCTTTGTTTTCAGATAGTGGTTTAATACTCCGTGATGTTTTTATGCAATACATTTATGCCCGAAAAGAGGATTGCTTTAGAATAGCTGTGCTTGATAATTAACCATTACAATAATGTAACAATAAGGTTTCAAACAGGAAATAAACAACAACCTGAGTCCTCTAAATGTGCAGATTTGTGCAGAACGGCACACGTGCAGCTGCTTGTTTGAGTTGTTGAGAAAGTATTGAGTGAAGTTACCAGTAACCATCGAACACACTGCTTTTGGTGCACATGTACACACAAACAGCAAGTCCACAACAGATTACTTAGATTTGATGATCTAATTCTAATTTTAACCTTTGTTTATCTCATTCTAATTATGTAACCTAAATTGTATCCATGGTTAGAAAATTCCCCAAAACTGCAAAAGCCAATCAGGTTTTAGATTTTTCCTTTCTGATTAGCTCTTCCCTCAGTCTTCTATCCTGTATCTCTCTCATTTCACTTTGATTGACTCTCACTTGCCACTATTTTCCTCATACTTCCAACTCTAAACCAATCTTTTCCATTCCCTCTTTGGTCCTTAGCCAGCCATTCCCCCTCCGGTGTCCCACCTCCCGTTCACTTCCTTCCTAACTCTCCTTTCTTTCTTTTCTGCCGGCCTCCCCTTTACTGCCCTACATTTCCTCTATTCTTTTCATTCTTTCCGTTCTCTCTCTCGCTCTGCTTTCCAGTGTGCAGTACAGTGAGAATAGGGGGTGGAAAGTGCAGGAAGAGTCGCCTTTTTTTATACAGTGACAGGACATAAAAATTAGCATAGAGCAAACCAAAAAGCCTCTTGTCAGTCTATCTTATAATTCCATTAAAATGTACACATGTGACATTTTAGTAAGAGAAAAGCCTTTTACACTTGGTCTCAGTGGTGGAAGCCATGTCTGAAAATCAGAGACAGAAAGATTGTACACAAGCAAATTTAAAAAAAAAAAATTGGAAAAAGTATTTGGTCTTGGTCGTTGCAGCAGTGTTAGTCTAAGCTTTTCGACTTATCATTTAGACAATTTCCTGACTTTGACCCTAACCCTAAACGAGCATGTTATATAAACCGTTTGGATGAGGGAAAATGCAGGATAAAGATACCTCTGTTCAATATGGGTGCAAAAAGGCCGGGTTGGTTTGTTTGCTAGCGTGTGTGTGTGAGACGAGCAGGGATTTAAGGAAAGATAAGTAGATGATGAGCAGGAGTATCTGCAGATGATGTCGGCTTTTGGAAGCCGTGGAAAAATAACACGCATACACATGCACAAGCACCCACACATACACAAAGGGGCAGCAATTAAAAAAAGATTTGGATCCTGTGCTAAATTTATGCATGAAATGAAACACACAATTGGAAAATCTCTCAAACCCGATATTTTTTTTCCCGCAATTTATCACAGCAGACATGTTAAATACGAATGGGACATTTTTACCATTCTGTTTCGGATATCCGCTCCTAATGAATGAATTCGATGGCAGAAACATCTCCCGAAATAACTGGGACATGAGCATGTTAACCAGCCTTTCATCATTCCATCACACGGACTCCACCATGTTGTGATAGACGCTGTATACAATTTTTTGAGCTTATCCTACCCAAAGATGTGGAGCCTTCCAGGAAAAGCTGTCATCCGGATTGAATATTTGTCACTCTGGAATCTACATACCTTTTTGCATTTCCAATTTTATACCCAGAACATCAGAGATGTTGGCTTTTGAAGTGAGCGCTAACAAGCCAGTATGGGCCCTTTCCCCTTTAGCCTTGAAGGCACACTGTCCACTGTTTTTTATCTATTATGATCTGACCACAGAATGAGAAGTAGTTGAGGGAGGGAGGGAGGAGGAGGAGGTGGGGGGGGTACCACAACTCCTCTGGATCGAGGTCTCCCTCCGGCACGGGAGAGCTCTAAGCTAAATTTGTGGATGGCACAACGAGCTGTGTTCAGAGTTGGGATTTCTGAGCAAAAAGGGTTCCATGAACTAATGCAGCGAGTTTCATGACAGAATCCAGCCTGTTTTTCTAATGCAACGCCGCCTGAGGGCGGGAAGATAATGGGCATCCAGGATGGCTTTTCAGCAGGACAAGGAGGAGATAGTTTTAACAGGCGAATTTGTGCTACATAGCAGAATGTCTTGATGGCTAAATATGCAATCCTCATCTCATAAATGCATCATCCCACGTTGTCAGAACTGACTCAGCAGCTCAGAGTGATGAGACAAAAAGAAAGGGATTACTGTTTGTAAGAGCTCTGCTGGGGTTGCTACGGGTTCTGTGAGTGGGATACACGTGTACTCAATCTCTACCCTAGGGCCTGATTACTAAAACGGCACTAACCGAACCGGCGTCACAGCTGTGGCGTTTGAGTGTGTGAGCGTTTGAAAAAATCACCATCATTCAGTGTGTTACAGCCGGAAACAGCCTTTTGGCATTAACAAAGGTGGAAAGCAACAACTCCTGAGCTGGACTTTTTCACATCTAGTACCAGCTCAGTGACGCTGAACACTGTGACGGATGGTTTCTGCCTAGTTTTGGATGTGGAATTTATCTTGACTGTGCTAGTCTATAACTTCCCTGAATAACTACTCTATTTCAGAAATATCCCCCAAATTTGTTTAAAAGTACGATGAGAAATAAATCAAAACAATACGATGAAACTTTGATGGTTCGCCCTTCGGCCGGAGGATAGTGTGCACTGAACTCAGCAGTTTCAGTCTTTTCCTTTGAAAAAGGATCCGTCTCTTTGATCTGATGAGAATAGATGTACAATGAAGTTGTGGCTCTTAGGGATTCCCGGTGCTGATGAGCAGCCATGCACACAGATCCTCACATGAACATGAACATGACATGAACAATCAGTCTATTCAGCTTGTAGGGAGCAAAATGAGATAAATTAGAAACAAAGAGTAAACATAATATACCCAGTTATAAAGGAATTCTAAGTTTATTTACATTTTCGCACTTGTGGTCCTCCATCATCATAAAGCCTTGTTTGTTCAATGCAGAGTAAGTGTAAGATTTTATCTTCTATTTGTTGGAATTCCAATTATTAATAATACGTATTTGATGGGCTCACAAGCTTGTAAACTTGTTAACCTTATTCTTCACCTTCTTAGCCAAATATAATGATAATATTTATCCCGAGGCATCGTTAGATACATTTTCCCCTGGACTTAGACGTGTGAACACACACACAACCTAGTGACTCAGTTTCATCTGACATTTGAGGTTTTTCTCTCCTCTTCTCATTCTTTCCCATTTTCTCTCTTCCTTCCTCTCTCCTCCCAGGCTCAGTTCCTGCGGAGATGATCGGAGATGCAGCTGGATGTAACCACCCCACACACACACACACACACACACACTGACACACACACGCGCTCAATCACCTCCCTCTGTTTTTTTCCTCCGTCTATCTGGCACTGTTGAGCGGCAAACAGAGGCAGAGACATCATTCAGTTCCCCAACCGTCGCAGCACAGGGCGCAGCCACACACTCTCTCCTACTTTTGCTCATCCCCACACACACTCACACACACATGCACAGCACAAAGAGACGTGCGCAGCGGACAATCCCAACAGTTGTGGAGGGGACCCTCACTTGGCAGCTCTGAGGAAGCCACGGCATTAAGAGAAAACTGGGAATAAGACACAAAAAGTGACAGGAAACGGGGATAAGAGGAGTTTGCGCTTGCCGGATAACACAGATCGAGCCCACAGCTGGGATGGAGAACACATGAGGCTGTGAGAGATCTGAGAGGACATGCTCTGGAATAATGCTGCTGAGTAAAGTTTGTGGACATTTCCAAAAGGGATTTTTATTTGCCGTTTAACTTTGGAAAGGACCTGTAAATAGTTCACTGTGCAGACAGGAAAGGAGAAAAAGGTGAGATCGCTCATTCAAAACCAATGAGATGTATCTTAAATCTGTTCACTGCATTTCTGTTTTTGTTTGCTTGCTTTTATTTCCTAAACCTAAGTGTATAAATATAAGTAATAATCACAGATAGGTGATTATCTTTTTTTTTCACTATACAATTCTTCCAACTGTGATTCCAACTGACTTATTTTGAAAGCTCTCTGCCCTCTTTTTTGTCATTGATTCCATAAGCATTTAGGATCAATGCACTAGTCATGTGCACATGTAGGAACATGCAGCAGATCTCTTTGCCTCTGACTCACTGTTGCATCATCAAATACTTCTGCAAAGTTACTTTATGATGCCATCTCAGGGCGTGTTGTTGTTTGTTGAGGCACCGTAATGAAAAAATCCAGCTTTTTTTTTGCTTGATGTTTGTGGGGTATTTAAACACCTAAATGTCATTTTTCCTTGTCGGTGACCTTTTGTCTGTCTATGAGGCTCTGTCCGTCGCTCTCTGAAATGTCACCTTTCTGTTTGAAGCTGTTGCAGGTGGGGGCGATGGGAAAAAAGAGCTTTTCCAGAAGCATGGCCGCCACGCAACCTTTGCCCCGTCGCTTTTCCCTCCTCCTCTTGTCCCTCCTCGCGTCCGGCCCGGTCCTGGCCCAGGACGCGTCGGTGGCCAGCGTGACGGCGGGCGAGGGCGACTCGTACGTGGTCCCCACCATGCTCACCAACCGGACGTCCGGCGGCTACGAGGAGGCCACTCGGAGCAGCCCCCCGGAGACGGGGCTGTCCACCCCCAACAGCGGCGGGGACGCCGACGACGAGGACTCCCCGCCGTCCGGCGGCACGCGCTGCCAGGGCTACTACGACGTGATGGGCCAGTGGGACCCGCCGTTCAACTGCAACGCCGGCGTGTTCCTGTACTGCTGCGGCACGTGCTTCTACCGCTTCTGCTGCCAGTTCCGCCAGCAGAGGCTGGACCAGAACATCTGCTCCAACTACGACTCGCCCATCTGGGCCAACACGGGCAAGCCCGTGGCCACCATCACCGAGGGCCAGGGGGACCAGAACCGGGACCGCACGCACCTCATCGTCTACATCATCTGCGGCGTGGTCGCCGTCATGGTGCTGGTGGGCATCTTCACCAAACTGGCTGTGGAGAAGACCCGTGGAGGAAGCAGCGGAGGAGGAGGAGGAGGAGGAGTCCCTCAGACGGACCTCAACACCAGGTGAGGAGACGGGCGTGTGTGCACGTGTGTTTGTTCGCGCGTGTGTGTGTGTGCGTGGAGGAACGTAGCTTCGCTGGCATTTTCCTGTAGACCGTAGACATGAGCAAAGAGGCGGTTAGACGGCTGGATGCACATTTGTGTTGGCATGCGTCTGTGTGTGTGTGTATTTGCATGTGTTTTCTGATGTTGGAACGTTGGAAATTCTGACCTTACGTCTAAAGTGACCAAAAAGTCAGTCAAAGACAGGCTTTCAAGGGGGCAGATTCTGGTATTGGAAGCAAACCATCCCAGTTTGGAATTTACAACTTCCAACTTTTAGTGTGTGTAGGCCCAGTTTCATGTGTGCATGTGTGTGTGTATGTTAAACCTAGAGGTGAAACTAGAATGCTTTTCATTCATTCATTCATTTATTCATTCATTTATTCGTTCATAATCATGGAAATGGTGCCCAACAACAAGAACAACAACAACAAACAGTTGTAGGAAACACAGACCAACCATTAGGTCAGAATGACTGAGATGTTCGGATAAATGTGAGAAGCATTGTTCGTTGTTGCTTTGTGGGGCAGTGATGAGGTGTCTGTGCATGCAGTAAATGAGACAAATCTCAAAGTACAAGCTGATGTGTTGTCCTGTTCATATATATATATATATACATAATCATCATGCTCTTCTTTTGCTCATCTCATCTCATCATTTTCTAATTGTGCATTTTTTTTCTTTGTGATCTTTGTTTGTGCCTCTCTTTGTTTCTTTGTCGTTCATCTACTTTTTTGTATATCATCCTCGCTTTGTACCATTTGCTTTGCTTGTAAGCATGACGACAATTTGAAATAAACGCAACAAATGTGCAAAAGAGAAACCGACCGAACCATTTTTCCTGTAGTAAAGCACTCTTAAAGAACATCTCTGGGCTTCTGTGTGAGAGTTCCTCCCTTACACTTTGTTTCCGGTTCTGCAAATTCACTTTTACTTCGGTCACTTTTGTATTGAGAATTGAAATAGTTATGAGGCTCAGCATGTCAGTCAAACATGTGTGAATCAAAGCATTGACAAAAAAAACTGTAAAAGCATGCACAATACATACAAAACTTACACACACATACTGAATTTGGGGTGAATACACATCCAGAGTTAAACCTGCCTGCTTGAATTGTTGCAGAGTATTTTTGTTATCACTCTCATCTTATTAATTATTATTTATTCATGGCATTTTCTCCTAAACCACAAAGCTTGTTATTTTTGGTTCACTCTCCAAGTGCCCTTCCTCTTCTCCAGCTCCTCTTTTTCCTTAATTTGTCCTCCTTATCTCTTCCACGGCTCTCAACATTAAACATCTGAGGCATGAGCCGTTTTCATTCCCATCTCTCCTGCATTTCCACTTCTTCACCTGCTTCCTGCCTGATTTTGGTCACGGTTGCACGATTTACTGAGCTCTCTCCCACCCAAAAACCCTCACCGAGCTGCAGCTCTGCATGTGAAGCCCCCCTTTTTACCTGAACGGCCAATCCTCACTGAAAATAGAACCGTCCTGCCCGCATAAACGTCTCCACAGATTACAGCTCCTCCTTGAGATGAAATGAATTTCATCGAGATTAGGGCTTTAGCATTTCGGGACGGCTCTCCCCTTCACACTTGTTCTGCGATTTGCCCGCTGACACAAATCCCCTCGTCCAAAAGTGAGCGCCCAACAAAGATCTCATGTACTGCACCCACTTCCCGAGGTGAAATCCGTGATTAAGAAAATAAACCCGTGCCCAATTTAGAGCCGAGATAAAAAAAAAAGAAACAAGACGAAAGTACATTTTTGCACATATTTAGCACTTCTTCTCCTTCGCACCTCCTTTTTCCTCTCTCTCAACATCCTACGAGCACAGGGTGATCAACACTTTGATACCCCACCTGTTTTCTCAAATCCACTTCGAAGTTAAAACCCAAGCTGATCATCAGCAGTTGTGCTTCTTCTTTTCCTGCACTTGTTCCAACCGATCTGACTCCGGCGAGAAATGGAGAAATGGAGAGCGACGCCTTAGGTCGCTGGTGTCAGGTCTAATGAAAACGCCTCGACTGTAGAGTTACTGGCTTTGCACCAGAAGAGTAAACAAACACCGGTGACCTTCCGTGATCTCACACACACACACTCGCGGGGACTCATAGTACAATTATCTGCCGGAATGATAGCGGTGGCATTTAGGTTGCGTGTGAGGGTGGTTCGGATCAGCCCGGCGAGAGGGCCGGATGGCCGACCAATAGCAATGCAACACACACCTGACAAGTGTACCAGGACCAGCGCGGTGGCAGGAGAGGTCACAAGCTTCAAACAGGATGTGTGTGTGTGTGTTTGTGTGTGTGTGTCTGTGAATGTGGGCATGGACAAATGCGTGCAAGCGTGTGCGTGTTTGGCTTTTATTTTTACCTTCAATCTCCAACTATGAAGCCAAAACAAGTCGAGCAGAATTGTCTTACCTTTCAAGAAAAAGTGATGTTTTCCTTTTTAGAATATCTCGACTACGAATTCTAACAGCAGACCAACGTCATTTGCGATTTTCATGGTCACGAAATATGGTGAACACAACCCCTCAGATTCCTCTTTATCCTAAATGTTTTTGTTTTTTTACGTGCAGAGTTTTGCTCCACATTCAACGCCACACGTGCATCGATTTACTGTACATGTTTAACCGTTTAGCGTGCGATCAGTGAGGTTTTTAAGTGTGCGCGGTCGTAGTCTTTTTCCCCTCCCGTGTTATGCAACAAAGGACACAATCGCTTAAACACTTTGGTTGGTCTGGCCTGATTTAAGGCAGATAAAAGATAGATAAGCAATAATCAATACAGCATGGGTATACATATGGGCTGTCTGAATGCAACAAATGGGTTCACCCTCTCTGTCCTCCACAGTCATCGATCATAAAGGCGTGGGATTTTGTTTCAGGGTTTGTGTTCCAAAAGTATTTTTGGCTTTTTTTAAATGTGCTTTTTGAGAAGGTGTCCTGTCATTTCCTGTCAATTAAAATGGTTTCCCACAGTAGTAAACAATCATTTATGTTGGTTCTACCTTCTAATAACAGATGTCTTTTAGTGAATTTAGATTTTTTGAAAATTATCTTTGGCATGTCCTCTGGTTGCTGAGCTTTCCCTCTTTGTTGAAGCTTTTTTGAAAGCTACAAAGAAATGTCAGAACAAAATGCATGAGATGTTTGAAGAAAGTACATCAGGCAGAGCTGTAATAGATTAACTAGAAAACCCCACAATTATGACCTGAAAGGAGGATCTTTTTTACATCTCTCTTAGTTGAATAAAACATATCAAATACAAGTAATTTGAATAGTTTTTTCCCCTAAAGTCTTCATTTGGATCAATACAAATATGTTTAAAATAGGCTGAGAACATTTATTTACTTCTCTGTCCATTCTCTATCCACCAATCCATTCTCTTCTATAGCTACAAGTCCAGTAATATTAAACCTGCCAATTATAAGTGGATGTGGTGGATTTAAACCCAAGCCAAATTAAAATACGTACAAATATGTTGGTTTTGTAATATTACGTAACCCTGGTAGAAAAGAGGGATTGGAAAATCTTTTTTTTTAATGCACTTTTTTTTTTTTTATCTCTGTTTGGGGTTACATAGGACAAATATCACAAAACAATACATAGGTTTGATTATAAGTTAAGTAAAATAAAAAAATACGAAAATACGAATGTATATTTTCTGTTATGTTTAGGTTTATTTTAAACAAGTAGATGAAGAAAAAGTTGTCGCAAGTGAACAATATGCCTAAAGTGATCCCACAAGTATTGTAAGAATCAGGTTGTACTGGATTAAATCCAAAATGAAACCAAAGAGCACTAAATAGGTCGGTAAGAATCTTTTTTTTTTCCAAAGAGAATCATCTTGATCCACCTCTTGATCTTGATTGGCATATTCCCCTGTATGGTTTTCACCGTACTGACTAAAAAAAGAGCTTTTTCCACCTCCGCAACACTTCCTATAGTGAAACCAGTTATGCCTTCCTGTGCCCAACTTTTGTTAACTCAGATATTCAACACGTTGGACCCTCACGAGCGTAGCCTGCACAGTGCTGCACACTACTGTCAGAAACAGCTTTTGGACCAAAAGAAGCCTCCAGCTGTTTTTGAAAGTTTCCCTCTGCTCCAATTTCACCTGCCAACCACCTCTAGGGTTGTGATACCCCTCTGTGTCCCCTCCCCATCATAGCACGAGTGAGTGTGTCTGCCTGGATGTTAGCTTTTGTGCGAGTATCATCCTGCGTTTGTATGCATGTACCCGATTGGCTGAATTTTTCCCAAAGTTAAGGGACAGATCAGATGACAGATTCCTGGTTGGATGAGATGTGACAGTTTCCCCCCTCCAGGTGCTACACCCTCTTGTTTCATCGGGGCTGCCATGGTTCACTGAGCCTACACACACACAAATGTGGGTCAGCAGCTACTGAAGGGTTTGGTTTTGTAGTTTATTCATCAGGGTGAAGCATAAGAAACGGATCGTATTTGAAAAGCCAAAACCTGAAACCTTTACCAGACCAAGAGAATGTATAAAGAAAGCACAAAGAAAACAATATAAAGTTTGTGTTTGTCGATGTCAGCAGTGTGTCTCGGGGCTGAACGAAGTTTGTTTTCTCTGGTGCCTTTGCTTGTGTGCTTAATCAGTAACTGTGTAATGAGTAATGACGGAACAGAAAAGACTAACGGCAAATAAAGTGACTTGTATGGAATTGTCTGATTTCCATTTTGTATCATGAGAAAAAAACATGACAATTGCTTGACTGTGGAAGTTTGTTTTGGGAAGAGACAGATGAGCAGGTGGGAATATGAAGAAAAAACATATAATTCTTAACAGGTGTTCTTTTTTTCATCAAGCTGTGGTCTGTTTTTCCTAGTTTTTCACACGCTTCACATGTGGTATATTTTCATATTATTGTATCTATATGAAACAAAGTACAGCTTTAGAAGTAGTACATTTGAAACCAATCGCAGTGTGTGTTCTAATCAGAGTCATGTGGAGACCTGGGAAAGGACTAATTGATTGTTACAGGACATTAGCAAAGTCTCATCTCAAAGAAGTTGTAACATGAAGAGAAAGCACGCTGGAACTAATGAGCTAAAAAATCTCAGGAAAAATGCTGTTACATAATGTTATAGGCTGATAAAGAGGAATATGAAAGTATTACATATATATACTGTATATATATATATATATATATATATATATATATATATATATATATATATAGAGAGAGAGAGAGAGAGAGAGAGAGAGAGAGAGAGAGAGAGAGAGAGAGACAGAGACAGAAACAGAGACAGAGAGAAAGAGATAACTGTCCATGAACCTTCATCTGTCTCACTTTGAACCTCACAGGTTTTGAAACAAGCATTTCTCAGAAAGAAGAAGGGGAGATAATCGTCAATCTTTGTTTGACTACAGAAACAACAAGTGGCAGATATGGCTGTGTGTTCAAACCCACCAGCATTTTGAAATGAAAATTCATTAGCTGTCAACACATAAGCCAGTTTATCAGTGTGTCACTGGCTGTTTGAAGATAAGATGGTTTTTTTATGATGTGATGGCTGCATTTTTTTATTTTGCTGGCTGTAGGTTGATGCATCCAAGCCATCAGAATAAAAGCTTCCTAACAGCACTTTGTCAAACTAGCCAAACTGACCCCAACAAATTTACCCACAAATCCCACAATCAAAGCGAAAAATGGGAAGACAAGGTTCTCCAAGTAAAGATTACTTCCTCTGGGGAAAATTTCTTCATATTAGTTCACTCATATCCCTCCTTACGCTGGAAAATGTATTTCTTTACATTCAGAACACCAATGCATTTAAAAACCCAGTGATGCAATGTTAACACCACCAATTGCAATTCAATTCAAAAGTTACTTCACTTCCAAAAAGACCCTACTCTAAAGTTATTTACAAAAGCCCAACAATTGCACAGTACATCCATCTCTTTGAAAGCCAACTATTTAGTTACTAATCATGCCTTTAATACTTAGTCTTCCTTTAGTATAGTATATCAAGATGCTCCTAAGTTCCTGGCACATAATAACACAAATGTTAAAAATGTATTGCGCAAATGATGATAAGTAGTGAGCAACTTTGACAACTCTAAAGAGAGGCCTCTTTGATATTTCACCGAATTAAACAAAGGGCAGAGTTCTTTATATGAAGATTCCTCATAACAGGACATAGAAAAAAGTCCTTTCTGTCTAATTTGACTCATTTAGATCTTAGAAACAAAGCCATGGACCTTTTCTTGTATTTGAGAAGCCTCTACGGAGCAGCCAGGGGCAGTACATGAACTCATTAAGGATCATTGACAAATGTACACCATTTCATTCACAGTGCATTCTGGTTTCCATCCCATCTCTGACTGTTTCCGTTTTCTATTTATCCAGTCCTGCAAATATTTCCTTTCGACCAGTTGCGTGTCCGTCTTCAGGCATCAACAGTAAAGCTCGTGGGGCTCGGCCAATCCTGGTTAACTGATACATAGCCTGCAGAGGGGTGCAGAGTCATTTTATTCTGGCAGATTAAAAGTCCAAATCAGCAAGTTGTTTGAGCCCCTAAAAAAAGGAAAACGCACGGAGGCCCGAAGGGATGATAAAAAGCAATGAGTCACTGAGGGATAGAAGAAGAGACAGACAAACAAGATTATGTAAAGAAAAAGGAGGAGAAAAAATGAGGAGACAGATTCAGGTCTGGGTTTAGGTGAGGAATCAACAGAAATTCTTCTCCCTGATGATCGGGGACAGACATTTCAGGTGTTCAGTTGTTTTTGTCGTGTGACATGAACGTTATGTTAAGGGAGCTAAACCAACATCATTGTTTTTCACAGACATGCTGAGCGCACACTGTGTATGCAGAACTCTGATCTGAACAGATCTCAACGAATAGACATCATCTTTTGTCAAAAAACTGGCTTCAAGGAATAATTCATTAAGTTTCAAGCGTTCAAAATGGAAATCGGTCCAATTAGAGACTTGTGCGCTTATTTGTTTTCTTTATACTGTATTTGACATTTTAAACTTTCCCATTTGATGACACAGTCTGTCTATGACACTCATATTTATTAGTTCTGTTTGGAGTTGGGTCTGTAACCTGTAGTTACAACTAAATTATCTCCTGTTTTGATGTCTTGGGGGTCAAACACAAACCTCACAAATTCAAATAAACTGAACCAATTTGGCCTTTCTAATGAATATTAAGTATCATATGTCATACACAGGCCTGCGATGGACTGATGATCTTACTAAGGTATCGCTCTTGGATAGGTTGCCCCCCCAATGACCATGTTGGAAATGAGCAGTATAGAAAATGGATGGATGGATGTCATACAATAAACCCAAAAGCCCCTACAGAAACCAGGTGCAGCATATATGACTGCATAGTCGTATCGTTTATCAGACGAGTGACTGAGTGTGATCATGTGGCTCCTGGCTGTGGGTGTCCATGCAGTCATGATTGTGTGTCTGTTTTGCGTACCGTCTGAGTGGGGATGTTACTGAAGGCTGCACGTTTGGGCTTCGTTCGCGAAAAAGAAGAGTCGGTGTCTGAATTATTGATCAAGAGAAGGAATACCATCAATTGTGGGATTTCAGCGAATGCACAGGCAGCAGATGTGAGTTTACTCAAAGTGATGCACATGCCAGAATGTGTGAGAGCGTGTATTTGTGTAATGAAAATGGAGTGTAGTGGAGGTGGCCCAGTGTCTTGTATATTACGCCTATGAATCAAAATAAATAGACAGTCTGTGAACACAGAAATTCTCATATGTATGAGAGCATGCACACGCACTCTTGTTGTGCTTGCAAATACTTCTGGCACTCAAACACATCAAAATGGCAAAGTGTTCATTTGTGCCCATGTAGCTTGTAAGTGAGGCAGCAAAAGGCCACCAGGAAAGTACAGCTAGCTGGAAATGTATCCTTGAAGGTACTGAGGAATGCACAATCTGGAGATTTTCATGAAAAGTTTTCTTCAGAAAAGGAAAAGTTATTAAATAAAACATTAAAAAGTTATTTTAAAAATCCCATTCCCAGCGTCCTTAGCTAAAATGTTACTTATGTGCCTTAAATACCAGGCCCATAAGGAAGAGGAATGTCAGACCTGGGTTGATATTATGACTCAGTCAGAAGTGGAAAGCTCTGCAGAAAGTGTCTGAGTTCCCAACCAGCATAAGAATGTGTCCCCACATGCATGAATGGAAATAATTTCAGATGCATCCTCTGCATGCACGTGGACATGCATCCTGGTCGCACAGTCATCTGTTGGACGAGCGGCAAACGGTGCGTTAGGCCTGCTGATGTTCCTGCAAAACCACAAATGCATTCACTGAGCTGAAACATAGCTTCATTCAGACCTAAACACATTTCAGATTCAGCTGAGACATGTTTTGAATCAACAAACATAATCTCAGTTATGCAACAGACCTAACATGTGAATAGTGAAGACAACATAGAATAATTGACCTGTGATGTACAGGTCAGTGTCATGTACATTTGTTTTTTTTGTCTGAAAAACAACTTACATTTGAACAGATCAGCTGCAGGACTCGTAATTATGAACATTTAACATCAACTTTCCTGTCCGGATAACATCCTGTGGGTTGTGGACGCCATACAATGTAGAACACACACTTCCCACAACACGTACAACCTTCTTACCAACCGCTGCTTTATGTTAAAACATCAGTATGAAGGAGAAAAGAGCTCTGGGCATTTGAAGTAAGATCAGTCAAGGGTGGATATTGCAGACTTAGATAAACTAAGGTGAACTTATAAATTATTATTTTTCCATATCATTTGATAGTTTTGCATGTTTGTTTCTTTTCTTTCTCCCAAAAAGTTGTTAAAGGCATCAAGGCAGAACTGCTGTCCCCACAGCTGCTTTGTTCTCCGTCGCTCCAACAATAACCATTTTAGAAAAAGGAAAAGAAAATCAAAGGGATTTCTGTTTTTTTAAATTATACGTTTTGGGAGCTCGGAATCTACTTCTCTACAGAATGTCATATTTACCATAATTGGACTTGAGTGGGAAAACATTCAAGCTGCCTAATTAAGTTAGGAACAGTTAAAAGGGTGTTCCTCTTATTGTGGGACATGTTTGGGTTGTGAACGCTGTTGTGAAAATGAATCCAAAAGCATCCCTGATCCCCTCTGAGAGCAATTTGAGCAGGTCTAATTTATTTGACGCCTTCCCCCTTGTGTAGGACGAGAGTTAGTACCAGGTACGAGCTAATGAAAAAGTCATTATATTAAACTCTTACGTGCCAACATTGTGTACAAACCCAAGGGGCATGTCTCTATATCCTTCACTCTTTATGGTCACTATGCTGCAGCATCTAAAAAGGAAACTGACACTGCAAATTACCTTTACCTCGATCATACAGGTGTCGGCTGCAGCGATGCTAATTACACCTTCACTTTGCTGATATGAATGACTGAATTAAAACAGTTTTAATACTCAGCAGCAGCTTTGGGAAATTACAGTCACTGAGCACAGTTTGTCACTCCATGTTGGCACTCCAAACTAAACTAAAAAAGGGATTTGATTCAACACAGTCAGAAACATACATATGTTCTATTTTTGTGGATTTCATTGTTTAAAATGTGTTGGGTTTTTTTTTATTATTGATTTTTGGGTATGTTGTCCTTGTACTATTGTCAGTAAGACAGTTATTGTTTGTCATGATTGTTCAAACTTTGGCGGGTAAAGGGATGTACTAAAATGCATTCAATTGATTTAAACAAACTGCATCGTCCTTTGGTTTGTCATTTCACAAAATGACAAGAAAAACTAAATGTATGTGTCTCTGTGTGTGTGTGTGTGTGTGTGTGTGTGTGTGTTGATCTTCAGGACGTTGACAGATCTGCTGAAGCAGCAGGGAGGTGAGGTGAGCACCATAGAGAACGCCACGACCGGTTCGCCAAACGGCAGAGCCAATGGCATCTCAGCCAGGATGCTGCGCAGCAGGAGTGGTGAGTGCGGAAATCAAGACGCAAGACGAGACACAGGTCCAAACAATGCATGTAATACATGAGCATACTATTTATTTATTGGTGTATAAACGCCAAACCCAGTCCTAAGTAAAATATGTTTTCTGGCAAGTTGACGTCAAACATCTTCTAATTTCCATAAGGACATAAAGCTTAACCTTAAAGGAGCTTATCACACAGCTGGCACAGCTGTATGAGGTGTCTGTTTCTTTTTGTTCCCAGTTATACGAGACTAATAATAATCTTTTAACACTGAGCACTATGCAGGGTCCCACAAGTGATAAATTAATTGCACCCAATTCTGCATCTACAATTAAGATTGAAAGACTCAGCAGATTAAAAGAAATATTCATACGGTGTTAATTAACTCCAGGAACCCCCTGTTACGTATTAATTCATCTTTGCAGACAGTACAATGCCCAGAGACATTTTTACATCAAAAGTCTGCTACACACTGTATAAACAAACAGCTGCTGAAGGAAAACTTTTGGAATTTTTGGGTGTACTCCAAAGATTAAGCTCGAAATGCAAGGGCGACATTTAGTTTGTCTTTTTACTGAAACCTCAACATTTCCTCAGGTCGAGCAATGATGCAATTTTAATCATAATATTTGAGGAAATTCTCTGAATGTCTCTGACAGCTTTACAGATGATATGTGTTCACTGAAAACAAAAATAAAGGGCATAAAAATATACTTAAAGTGTAAAAAAAAGTTAAATCTTTCCCTTTAAGACTACCTGAATGTGGAAATTGTGGTCCTAATGATAATACTAATCATTATCATTATTATTGGTATTATTGTTGTTATCATAAATAAAAGTTATCATAATAATATGTATGACAATCGAAAATTTAAACTTTAATTAATGAACTCTTTGCCACTTACTCCAAAATTGAAGATTAAACAATGAGAACAGGAAAATGCTGATATGTTATCAAAAATTCACATGTCTGTAACAATAAAAAGATTTATCAATATAATCATTTATGTTATGATTGCTCCCCATTATTTCATTGCGATTTTTTCCCCCGCTACAGCTACCTAATTGAGCCTCAGACTGTAGTCGTTGACCTTTTGTGGTAGATTTAGCCACAAATGGTTATACAGATTTTAAGCTGATTTTGGTAAACATGCTTGTTGCATGTGCAATGCTTGTGCAACACACTCTCTCTCTCTTTCTCTCTCTCTCTGTCTCACACACACACACATACAATAACACCCACACACTCACACTATTTTTAATTGTAATGTCACTGTAAGCATGCTGAAACCCTACAGGCAGCATGTGCCTTTTCAAGACACACACTGATTTCAACCTGCAACATGCAATGCAGAGCAATGCTTTTTACGTCTGAACTGTAGATGATACATAACACCAAATGTGTGTGGATTAGTACTGTGTGTGCATGTGTGTTTGTTTTTTTATCAAACCCCCCTGCATCTCTTAACTCACAGCCATCATCCCACTCTAATACGACACATTGATCTTAAGGATTGTATTAATCACAAGCACAAAGAAGAGAACAACCCATTTGCTAGCGTTCAGTGCAACTCAAAGGGAAAAGTGCACGAGAAATCAACATAAACTTCATTTAAACGGTTACTACAGATTTTATTTCCCTTCTGCAGGTTTGAAACTGGGATGATTTAAATATAATGAGAGTGTAGGTATGCTGGAAAATAAAGGAGATGGAAAAAAGGAATAAAAAACGTATCAAAAGCTAAATATGCAAATTCCCTTTTTGTCATCTGTCAAACATGACAAAATTCTGGTTCTGTCAGGTTGTGACTTTGCTGTCAGATAAAGAAGGTGAAAAATGGGGAGCAGGAAGATATGGATCAAGCAACTCTAATTGACAGGTAAAAAGTCAACCACGGATGCTGCAATGGGAGGTCCAACGGTCCGAATGAGGTTCCAAAAGAAAACTAAAAGGAACAAACATAATGGAGAAAAAAGAAACTGAGGTAACGGGGCACAGGAAACTTTTACGGTCAATAACAGAAAAATAATAACTGGGTTGAGGAAGGTTTAGACGCTGCACAAACTGAGAGACTACACCAATTATCTGTCCGTCTGGCTCCAGCTCTGGAGGTCAACCCCGGGGCCAGAGCTGCTGATAGTGTACGGTCCACTAGAGGGGCCGAAGCCGCTTTGGAGGGCAACCTGGAGGACAAACCGGCCGGCAAGGCTCCGACAGCATGGTGCTACGAAACTCTCCGGGGCAAGGCAAGAGTTCAGTGAAGCAGGGACCCCTCTGTGGGTCAGCAGGAGGCTGGTCAGACATGCAAAACAGAGGGTCCCTTTGAGGTCAGCTGGGAGGCAAGCAGGGGATTCTGCTGGGGATCACCCAGCACTTATATCATACATCGCGTACATGTGTCTTGTAACATGTGAAACGACTGGAAAAGCATGAAATTCATGTAAATTGTGTTGTTAACACCAGGGTGGGCATTCAGTTGATCGAACCAAACCAAACATGATAAAGGACCCCAACTGATATATAAAGAAAAACACTGGTCCAGTAACTCAAATCAGAACATAAACTTTGGAGTGACCTGCAACATTACCTGGAAACCTGATTTTAAGCAAACCTACATCCTGAGATTTGGAGATCGACACATATTAGTGCATAAAAAAGTCTTAAAATCTTGATTTTCATTGGGAAGGGACTTTGAAGGGTTACCTTTTAAAATATCATGCATTATATTAGGAGTTTGCAGCTCATGAAGCTGGGGCTCATGGGGAATAAACAATGGGACTATACAGATGGAGGACTGAAGAAATCCTTTGAAATAATTTTTAATGAACTGGTCCTAGGGATTCTAGCTTTAGTAAGACTGCTTTCCATATCACAACCACATCTTCCTTTCAGAAATGAGCTGCTGAATTTGTTAGCGCTGACATACAACCCGCCCTAATTATGACTTTTGCATTAGAGCCTTATTTATATGAGCAATACCTTGCGGTAATAAGCGCGCATTAATTTGGTAGTTGGAGTGCAGTGAAACAAATTTTGCTCGGTCAGCCTGCAAGCTTTGCAAGTTTTCCCTAATGTGAGCATGAGTTCTCATTTCAATCCCATCCTTATTTTCTTCCTGTCGTTCCAACGGAAGTGAGGAACGATGCTGTTTTGTAGCTGAACCCCTGCTACATATTCCATTTCATGCAAATATATGTCACTTTTCTGACGCTAAAGATGCCCCTTACTTCTGTGTCACAGACAGATTAAAGGCGAGAAATGTCAAAAACTCTGGGGCAAAAAAAAAAAATCTTTGAAGTCACATCCTTTGAGATTTATGAGACATCAGAGCCTGCTATCAACCGAGAACAGGAGGCAAATATTTGGTCCGAAAGCCTCCGACAAACAGGACCCGCTGCAAAAAGAAAGCTCGGAGCAAAAAGCAGTGACCTATTTATCAAAGAAAACTGCAGAAGTAGTAGTGCGACCCAGTGAGAAATCACTCTTCATAACGCACATTTCACCTTTTCCCTCTTCACCCCCCCCTTTTTACCCAGTTGTCAGAAGAGCTGCTTTTAGAGCTCACTCTCAACTCTCCCCTGAGGTCACGAAAGGCGAACCTCACCCTTGCAAATAAAAGATCTTACGTCAAGTCGATTATTCTGACAAAAGGAAGCTTCACCACGGACTCAGCTGATGGCTGATAATGAAATGGGAGTGGGAGAAGTTGTGGCTGACGCCGTACAGAGACTTTCACGCAGGATTTGTTGACGCGCTCTTCGCACTCCGCCGTCTTTGCCTCCCCTTTGCTCTTTGGTCCGCTTATTCATAGCTTTGTCGTCTCACACAGGGACACAGAGGTTCGTCATGTAGCGTCTCGGTGGTGACAGACCCCCTCGCAGGGCTCTCTCTCCTTCGCCACTTTCCCCGAGGCCCTTAACACACTAGAGACGCACCATACAGAAGCTGTGCCTCGTGGTCATGAGTTCAGACCCCGGGCAGATGATGCAGGCGCATGTAACACGTGTACGTGTGTGAGACTGCTGTAAGAACGAATGCCATTACATCTAAAATGACTTCAATGTCTCTCAGTCACTGTAACAAAAATTTGGTTTGTAATTTGAGTTAGACGTAATGCGTTTTGTAGTTGTATTCTCACTGTACTGGCTAAAAGACCAGGCATGCTTCAATTCACTGCTTCTTCATTTATTCATTACCATTTTTTTTCAAAATGAGGGGAAAAAACACACCGTCCTTCTTTTGATCTTTCAAAACTGCTGATTCTGATGATGGGTTTTCCTTCAAATTAATATTAGTAATTATTATTTAGCGTCTAATAATTCGTATCACAGCACACTTCAACTGAGCATGCCAAAGTCAGTATGTAAAAAACAGGTTGTTTATTAGTTAAAGTCATTTTATTTAACAATTTCCCTCCCATGGACTTCAATGTGGGAGCAGGTTATTGAAGCTCAATTTAGGTTTTCCTTTTCCAATTTCATTGCTTTACTATTTTTATTTCAATAACTATTTGGTTTTGACAGATTGACTGATTCATATTTTTGGTTCATGTATATCATATATTAAGATTTACCTACCTACTATTTACTATTAGATTTAAAATGTTTTCCACCTCTTAAACTAGCCATTTTCCCTGAATCATGAAAACCAAAGCTAACAAGCAAACTGTAACATAGGCAAATGATAACAGATGAAAAGATGGATGGATGTATATTCGGACAAAGACAGAAACTATGAGATTCAACGAACTGTTTGGAAACCCAATAAATCAGCTGTGCCCTGTAATGAGGCTGCAGTGGTTTAGGCTCTTGCTGTGTTCAAAATGATGCACATATGTAGTTCCAGCTTAGTGAGACGGACTGCTGCTGTTAAATATGACAGGAATAGGGTGCTCATTCAGACAAGACACCAACACACTCAGTTATCATGAGACCACTGGAAAGCAGTGGATGTATGAAAGGGACTTAAAAGTGAAGTCCTCCGGAAGAAAGCCAGCTATTTTTTTCACCGCTTTCCACCAATTATGTGAAGTGCAAAATCTCAGAGACGCCTGATTCTCTCCTAATAGCCAGCACCAGCACATTGGTCATTCACTGCTCTGACAGTTTAATGAGGAAGAGATGAAGGCCAAGATAGCGATTATGATTCTCGTGATTGCATTATGAAAAAGACTTCATAATCCCCTAATTTTGCACTTGCTGAGACGCCAGCGCTGCTGAATGATGTTCTTATGTCAGCACACACACACTCGCGCATTCCAATTTGCAAAAGCATCAAGCAGATGTGGCTCGCATCCTTCTGGAACCCAGAAACTGCCAAAATGCTGAGACAGTTGGAGAAACGATCTTCGTGGAATGACTGTTCCTGTTACAGTACATGGATTAGAAATGCACGACAAAATGGTGGCCTAAACCAGACCCTGGTCTGAACTAAATCGCATGTCAACGAGACTTTTACCGATTCTACATGTGAGAGTACAACTTAACTATGTTTAGAACTGGTCTTGGTGCTGTTGAGCCTTGTGGTTTATGTCTATGTGTTTATGCATTTACCAAAAGCTTTTATCCACTGTGACTTACAAAATAGACACAATGTTACAGTTATCATCAATCTGACAATAAGACTTTCCTCTCTAGAGGAAAATCCCTGGTCAGAGTCAGTGGTGACAGCCAGGAGATGGAGGTGGCGTTCTACAATAGATGGTTTGAAGATAACCATTGACAACCATTGTCAAATGGAAGGTTGTTGAACTAAGGATGAGAGAGAGAGGTTAAGATGTTCCTTTATCGTCCCACAATGGGGATAGTCCCATTGTTACAGCAGCAAAGTGGACCAAGAGGCAGAGGTGGGCATGAACCCTAATAGAGGTATAGTGTAAATGAAGAATGGTAATATAATATATAAAAAAACCTTCAAAAAAGACAAAACAGGTAACACAAAAGCAGGAGTTGCTCATGGGCTAATACATTGCACACTGTAATCATGATTGTGGTCGTTAGATGATTAATTACTACAGGTTTGATAGTCTTAGAGAGACGTATGCTGCCCTACCTCTGAGAACCTCAGGGTTTAAGAAGGATTGATTGGTGAGCTGAAAGTTAAAAGTGGGGACAAGGTGGGGTTAGGGGCTATTTAAAGATCAAAGGTTGGACTGAGATGAGTTTTGAGCTGTGTGGGAGCTGTAACATTTTAGAGACTGCATCTACACCAGGTGCTGCCCCAGGTTTTAGTTTTCAGCTTCCACGTAAGGGGAGGACGTCACTTCAAGGGGCTTGTTGAGCAGACACTGCTGAGGGACGCTGGGGTATTTGTTTGTTTGTTCATCAAGGGTTACTTGAACCTTCAAAACCCCATCCTTCTTCAGTATCTTCGACTTGTGCTTCTTTTATCAGGTCAACCTTGACCTTCCAGTGTGTTCGTAGTATAAGCGTCTCTCTCTCTCCAGAGAGTCCCTCCTGGAGCCATAGTCTGGTGTTAAGGTCATCTTCCTTCTGGAAGTGTGATGATTTTCTTCAGGGGTCCTTCAGCCCTGGCTGCTCCTTTAGCGTCAGCCTGTTGTTGGAAGCAGGCTGCAGTCACAGGCGGCTCCTTTGTGACAGGCTTCTCTTTGAGTTTAACGGGGATATTTTTGTCAGTTTGCGCATTGCTCGACTCCACGCCGAAAAGATTTGCATTTCCTCCTCGTTGGTTCACCGTGTGGATTTGTCTGGTGACTCACCTGATGTGGGTGCTTTATACACAGACGTGACCCATTTCAGACACTTTCATGAATCCAGCAATGAAAGTTGAGCCATCATTCATAGTGCAGGGAGGACGGGCGGATCAGGACAATGCGTGCGCGCGTTGTTACATTAAGAACCAGCTCCACGTTTCTCCACTCTTTAAGCTTCAATAGAAGTTCCTAATTCATCCCAGCCTCTGTTGCGACACATCTACACACATCCCGCTGTCTTTATCCAGTTGTAACAGCCTGATAGTCACAGACACGGATAAGATCTTTGATGCTTCTTTCTATGATTGTGTATCCATGTGCACGCTATCGTGCCGCGATCTGATCTGTGCATGGCAAATCAGATTGGCAAGCGTGTCAATACTCTTTCCTGTGTTGTTCCGTCAACAGGTCTGTCAGTTAAGCACAACAAACATACACTATCGAGCAAGAAAGAATACATAAATCACATCCGGTTGGCAGAGAATTAAAGCTTGAGACGGCAGCTTGGGCTTCTCTTTCAAATGACACACGCACACAACGAAACGCGCTGCTTGGATGTCTGTTTTCCCATGAACGTCCGTGTGTGCTGCACGTGCGTCCGTCCCCGGGGCACACATCAAGCACACTGGGTGCATCAGTAGAGTTCATTAATGCTAGAAGCCAGAGCTTTGCTCTCTTGCTCCTGTTCTGTTCCACTGTTCGTTAACCTCCGTTCGTTCAGCGCGGGCCATCGGGAACGGCAGCATCGCCTCCCACAAAGTCACCCACCTGAAAATAAAAGGCCAGGGCACTACAATTCATGTTAATCCAGCATTTAAGAGTTTTTTTGCACCCGGTAGGCTTGTTATCTGTGATTCAAAGTAAAAGATCAAACGCCGGCTGAGCAAAAAATATTGGTCCACCAAATCAGAAATCCTTTTGTTTTAAATAAAATTCTACAGTTTGTTTACAGACAGCCCTCTGATACTGATACTTGAATGCTCACCAACATTTGCCTGATTTGGTCAGATGAAATACAAATGCCAAAGGCATGGAGGCTCTTTTTCCCACTGTGTGGGTTTAGTCACTGCTATGTTTCTCAAACTGTCCATCATCAGTAGATGCAACCCCTTGTTTTGAATATGTCACTTTTTAATTTAAAGGATCTGTGTCTTTACATAAACTGTGTCTGTGTCTGCCTGGACAGTCGAGTGGTGGTCAGAATTTTTTTTGTCTTGCATGCTACTGTTCTGGCACTAATGTCAACTGTTGCAGACTGCTGAGGTGGTCAATAAGGCCCTGCTTTTACGAACGCATTGCAAAGGATTCAAAGACTGAAAGGTGAATTAAAGAAAGATTTAAAAAATTGTCAAAGACAGATGCGTCGAAAGGCAAAGCAGACGATTTTACCAGTCAGTCTACATTCCAACCCTCACCTTTATTCGTGAGCTGGCTCATTAAAAATATGTCATTCACAAGGAATTTTAGGAAAATGAATCATTCCGTCATATAGTCAGAGTGCTGTAGAGGGGCCGTGGGTAAAAAACGAGCAAACTGCCATGTTTGCCGTGCAGTGTTTACAGTACACTGAGGATATCTGAAGGTTAGATGGTCCTCACAGACTGCAAAGAGGAACGATTTTAGCGGAGCTGTTGGTCAATTTGGCCTGAAGCATGTTTGCACTTGAAGGTTAATACAGTCATGGAATTAGTCACGGAATTAGTATCTGCAAATGACATGAAGACATCATCAACATGGCTATAAAAAAAAAAGGGGACACTATAGATTGCCATGTCAGTAGGTTAAATGTGACTAAAATCGATTTGATGCTGTTTGTCTTTTGTAAATAACACTGATCCCCTTTTGTGTGTCTCTCACCAGAACAGTACCAGCTAAATAACTCCGCTTTTGGACCGTTTGGACAGGGGCTTCCACACCCGCAAAGTAACCACAGCATGTTGGGGCTGAACAAATATACCTCACTGAAAGCTGTCGGTAAGTTGCTCGCCAACAATCACAAAATGTGGCAGATTTCAAATGAGACTAGTCCACCGTGATGGTGTTGTCACATAATGAAAATAAAAAAAGATCTTACAGACATGCCTGCACACTGTGTCTCTGATACTGTTGCAAAAAAAGTTAGGTAATGTCAATTATATGCATGGCACATGAGACAATGACGGTCGAGGGTATAGACGTTACAGAACAGACATTAAATAATAGATCTGCAACTCTTCAGTCACAAAGGCTTCATGCATCATCAAGAGAAACAGAGAAACAGAATAAAAAATAGTTGAATAAAATCCTTTTATTCAACAATGGGGTGCTTTAGCATTCAGTTAGGATGCCTCCTGGTTGCCTCCCTTTGAGAGTTTTTGGGGCAAGTCTAACAGAGAGGCAATACAGTCTTTATCTTTTTTTTTTTTCTGGGAATGACTCATTATCCCTCGGCAGGATTTGGAAGACGGATATCCGATTTTCCCTCCTGTTAACTCTGTGCTCTTGCCCTATATTAGATAGATGGATGGAGGGATATTTAAAACTGATGCCATTGGAAGAAAGACCGCAGGCAGATTTGACTCTTTTTTTAGTGCCGGAGAGCAAAACAACAACATTATTTGCTTATTTCTAGCCGTTATGAATCTTTGTTGACATTTCAGGCATGCAATATGTTTCCCACTAAAAGTTAGGAACCATTTATTAAGTACAAAGGACAAAAAAGATTATATTTCAGACATGAGTGTTCAACAGGTGATTGGAATTATGGTTTGATACATAACAGCATCCATGAGACTCGGACTTAGGATGGGCAGAGTAACTCCGGTTTGTCTCTGAGAAATCAAGCAAAAACACTGTTGCTAGAAAAAAAGGGATTTTCAGAGTGTAAAGAGTAAACAGTTTCTAATAATAACAGTGCTTCTGACTTCCACAAACAGTCCTTCCAACATTATTCAGCGATTGGAAAATTTACTTACTTACTATTAATTGGTTTTCCACTTGAGAAGAGCAAACTCTGTTAAAAAGGAATGAGTTGTTGTTGTTTTTTAAGACCAAAACAGTGTTTGAGAAGAGATGAAAACAAACATCTGCTGCTGATGGGATGGACTCAGACTCTCTGACAGAAATGATAAAAGCGAGCCCAGAGACAAGGTTAAAGAAAATGCAGATGGGTGGCTTGCGGCAATAACCTCAGTCTTTCCTCTATTTAAATAACATCCTGTGACATTCATGTTTTCTTATTGCACACACGTACCAATGAGCACACAACACACAGTGGCCTGCTTTAGACTCGGGACCGCAGGGGGGTATTTACGAGGCTTCCTTTGCGGTCAGCTCATCTTGACACACATACCTTTACCTCCATCATCTCCATTTCACTGCTGAGGTCTGCTTTCCACCCTCTCAGCAACAAAAGAATGGAAGCTACTCCTTTCTGACTTTGAAGGCACATTCCAATTGAAAAATGCATCCTTCACTCACCAGCCCTTCCCTTTTCGTCTGCTGCTTCAAAACCTCACATCCTGAACTTGGTTTTTAATCTTTTGTTGTACTTTCACACACTAAAAGAAAAGAGTCAAATTCACCCGTAGCAAAAAGAAAATATCTTCATTTGTGTGTCTATCCTCAAAGCACAGCTTTCCCGCTTGCGTGTTTTCATATAAGACCTCACCACTTTCTTGTCTAACTAAAGCAGTGATTGGCTATTTTAGCTAATTTAGTAAAGCAGCAGGTCCACAGGGAAACTGGTTAACTTTCCAGCTGATGTCCAGCAGAAGAAGGGCAAAGTGTGACCCAGTTTGCTATGGGGTAGGGACTAGAAAAACCACAAAGAGCCCAGGATCAGCCTTAAAACTACAATGCCAAATGTATCATATTTGATTCATACGGTTTCTGAAGTCTTCTGGATATGAGACTTTTTGCATCATTCAGTGGTAAAAGCTTTGCTCAAACCCCTGTTGTACACATTCAGATATACCTGATAACAGCCAGTAGAAGACTACACAAAAATAAATTTTTTACTTATTAGTCGCTAATTTTAATTTTTTCCTTCATATGTTGTTGAGGGGCCAAAGAAATACTTCAGACTAAAAAATCCAATATTCTTCCTATTTTTCTTGGATCAGGCTTTAAAGGGTTAATTACCGCAAAAAGTTTCACAGACAATCTGGCAAAGACTGGTACTCCTGCAGATCCGTGCAAAGCCAGCTCCAGGAAAATGGGCATGCACGCGAGAAAGCCTGCTCAACACCTCGTAGAACTCAGAACGAAAAAAATCACACCCACCAAAGCACAATCATGACAAAACAAGCCAAAGTCAGGATGCAAAATGAACATTTCCGAGGATATATCTTTTTAAAAACTAGCTGTTCATTTTAACGGAGACAAACAGAGGTTAAAAGTTGTTTTTATTATAGTTTCCAAATACTTTGAGGAGCAAAAGGAACTGACACTGCTCACAGATGGAGGAAATGAGGCTGAAACATAAAAGCATGGCAGACTAAGTGGGATTCACTCATTGTGGTCTCCCAGTAAAAGACTGCTTTGCTGACTGAGTGTTCATTTCGGGCTGTTTCCGTCTGATTCAGTCATGCATCACACTGACAAAAAGTGAACATGACTCAAGAGAATAAACAAAAATAGGCAAAAAAATGAACATGTTTGTCGTACTGGACTAATTATGAGAGGTCAATGCGACCGTATTCCAAATTATGTAGTATATTTGCCCTGGTTTTCTGTAGCTATGAATATTTGGAAGTATAGTTGTTTTATAGTTTTATAGTTTTATTGTTTATCACGACCATTGCTAATTGCCATCGTAATGAAATCAGCAATATTTTCACTTCACTTGGCAGTGGTCCTAACAAGATGACTAATCAGTATATCACGCGACTCAAATGATTATAGAACTTTTTTATTTTATTTTATTTTTTATTTTATTGAACTTTTTTGCAAAGCAGGAAAACATTAAATATTAAACACTCTATATACATAAGAGAAGGATATAAACATGTGTAAGAATATAAAATAAAAAAATAGAAAATAAAATAAAATAAAAAATAAAGAGCAGAAGCAGAAAAACAAACATAAGAATACAAATTGTCCTGTTGTTGCCAAGCTAAATCTAGTAAACCCAGTCTCAGTCTCTGAGCTCCAGACGCCTCCAAATAGTCCAAAAAAGGGTCCCATGTCCGGTAAAAAAGAAATGGTTAGTCTTTCAACGCCGTAGAAAAGGCCTCCATTGGAATAATACTTATTGCAGTCTGTGTCCACTGGTTTATAGATGGAACTATAAACCATGATTATAGATCTTAATGATGACTGTACTGGATGTTAACCGTCTCCTATCCTTTCATCTGCAGCGGAAACGGCCTCCCGTGGCTACTACAAGAGTTTTCCCATCATGGACTTCTCCCATTACCAGCCTGTTGCCCCCCCTGCCTTTCAGCCGATGCAGCCCAAAGAGAAGTCGTACATCCACCAGCCCCTGCCGGTGCACCATGACATGCACGCCCCCCTCTCCATCTCCATCCCCCCCCACCACCTCGAGTACTCGCGTCTCCCCAAGACGACCACGTACCCGTCCCTCTCCAGCTCGGCCTTCAAGTCCTGGGAGCCGTCCGGGCGCCACGTCCACCGCCAGACCTCCGCCCCAGGACACAGCTCCTCCTCTTCCTCGCACGGCTCCGCCAGGAGGCACGGCTACTCGACGCGGAGGCAGCAGAGCATCGAGAACATGACGGACGTGTTCAATCCGCCCTACGGGGGGGTGTACGGGGGAGCCGGAGGGGGAACGGGGCAGATGCAGCTCGTCCATGGGCAACATGCGTCTCAGCATCCCTATTACCATCACACCAGGCAGAAGAGCTACTCCACCCACAGCGCGACTGAGGTTACGGTCTGACGAGTGCCCCCGGAGACAGAAGCTTGCCAAAACAACAAAAAAACAACAAAAAAAAGCTTTGGTGTCAGCCAAATGTCAGACTGTGGGACAGCTCGTCCAACGTGAAGAAGGAGGGTTTCAATGAGGAGACGCTTTGAGCTGGATGAGGGGTCTGATTTCACCAGCTGCAGTGATCCCATTCAGGAGGCAAACAGGGAAGCAGAACCAGAAAACTATGGTCAATTACATAACACTGAACCTAAAGGACGTCGAAGAGCCACGGGCTGCCTCTACTGATCGGAAGGGTTCGAAGAGACTCAACCACTTCGGTTTTTGCAGCGACAGTGAGATTATAGAATGATTATTCAGGCCCCAAGGAGATGTGGATAGGAAAAGAGAGCAAAATCTTAAGTCCACAAAGAGCTTTGGTTTCGCTCTTCATTTTTTGCATGCAGTTTCGAGTCCGATTTGTCAGGAATAAAGAACAAGTTTGTTCTAGTCTTTGAGGAGAGGGTCAGTAGCTGACAAACAGATGATGTGTACCATTTTTGACCCCGAAAGTGAAGCAAACCATACCTTTAACTATTCTGCACAAATAGGCAGTAGGTGTATCTGAAAAATCTTCACTAGAAATTTGGAAAAAGCTATCAGGTAGCTTTTATAATCATGACAAGCTCAACATCTTGGGATACAGGGTTAGTCATGCATGCTAAAAAATGTTAGAAACTCTAATAGCAGCTAATAATCTTGGCAACATTAACCAGGTGAAAATATCTGATCTCTGTCACTCTACTACTCTCCGACGAATTAGGAATCAAAGAAAGGCTCTGCATGCTTCGAATTAGGACAGTGTGTGGTTAACTTGAGGTTTTCAATCCCAGATGCAGCCGAACACGCATCCATCATCATCCAACAGGACTTCCTCCCACACGAATAGTGGAGTTTTGACCCCGGGTTCGTGGATTTTTGCCACATTATTTGGTTACCCTGACTGTTACACCTCTTTTCAATCACTTATAATGGCCATGACTTGGCTGGCTGAGAATTGGTCCAAACATTTTGATTTTTAAACCATGTGTTTTCAATAAGAAAACGTGATTCGGCATCCTGAGGTCTAACGCATCCTGGCCAATGGACATTTCTAGAGTCCATTTTTACATAATAAGTATCTTTATGGTTGAAATTTTACAGTGGTACAGACCACACAAGTCTTTGAGATTGATTCTCATTGCTTTAGTTGAGAAAGATCAACTTATTGATCCGACCTCTCACTTTATCTATTAACTCTGCAAACAGTTTTTGAAACATTTGCAAATGCCAGTCATCAGTAAAAAGATGATCGAGCAGGGAGCTCATCAGGATGGGTTCTACCTTTTCACTTGGTAGTCACAGTTATATCAGAAGTCCAATGGCAACATGTCAAACTCTGATGCCTCACGGCAGAAACCAGTGAACGACATCATAGAGGCTTTTCCCATCTTTTACCTACGGGCCATGGGGCAGAGGGGTATCAACCGTTTCTGCAGTCAATAACGTATCTCCATTTCTATCAGCAGAAATGTGCGTCAGCAAGATAATAAGGACAGGAGATCAATAAAAGTTGGCATATACAGTATCCCTCCATGATCAAAATAGGAATTCTGAGCAGTACATTTGTTCTTTTTGGCACACATGTCAAAGTATTTTATCAGAACTTTTTGCAGTTTTGGTAAAAAGCAAAAAAGTAAAAAGCCCTTTGCAATCCTCATCTGGACAGAGGGTTATTGATCAAAATCAGCATTGTGCCTAATTTGGAAATTTTTCAACCGTTAAATGACCTGGGTGTGGTCCAGGTTTGGGATTTGGATGACTAAAGACAACTTGGATGTCCATAGTTTCGTATCTCGCAGTCAAACTCCACGCAAAGCTGCTTTCTCACTCTTTTTCTCTCCCCTTTCGGCCCCCCTGCACTGATTATCCGTGATGAAGCGCGCTTTGCATTCTTTGCCATCAGGCCGAGCACACAGGGACAACTTCCCCCCGGGTCACATTAACTCGATGGTGAGGACAATGCCACCATCATGTCAGCTCCCATCAGCCTCCATCCCAATCATGGAGAGGCAGAGGAGGAGAGGGAGAGACAGTGTAAGCGCCAGAGGCTGAGACTTTTTAGAAAAGGAGATAAAGGGAGTAAAGAGAAGAGAAAAATAGAAATACAAAACACATTGGTACGTGTATTTCGTCCATGGGAAGGGGGGAACAAGTCAATGTGGATCTGGGTCTCTCACTATCAAACTTTCTGAGTCATAACTCCGAATGTGTGGATGCTTGTTTGTAATTTCTGACCTACCGACCCAATAACTGAGGAACTTCCAGACCCGGAGCATGTGACATCTCTCATTGAATCTCTGGGGCTTGGACAGAGAAGGACACGCGCAACAGTTAATGCAAAGCTTCCACTGAAAATGTCGGGGAGGGTTTATGTCTGGAAAACTGTACACTGGAACCGCACACATGTGCTCAAAAATGCTTCTTTAAATGTGTTTGGGAGAACCTTTCATTTCATCCTAAGTAAAAATGTGAAAAGCTTTTGTAGCAGGTGGGTTAGGAAATATTGCGTTGGATGGAACTTTGGTTTAGTTGCTAAGTGAGGGCTAAAAATATGGCAAACTGCTCCCTGCAGCTAAATCACCGTTAGTTCCCTTTACTCTTATTCCCACAAATACGTCCGCCCATAGGCTATGTTAGGCTTTCTTGAGCTGCACTTGAATAGGTTAGAATGGTCTAATTGAATACTTATTTCATATTTACAAAATATATGAAACTACAGAATATTATCTTTAAAATATAACTCCGTTGCCCAATAGTTATTATATAAGATTTGCGTCTGAGAAAAAATAAAACAATATAAGTGCACATTATTAAAAACATCACACAAAAAAAGCAGGACCATATAGGAAAAATCCACTTACTCATAGTTCATGCCAACTGATTGGTCATCCAGAACGATGTTACCATTCATTTGGAGACATTCTATGGCCAGCTAAATTGGTGCCACACAGAAAAACAAAAGCAACTGATCTGAGAAATGCCAAAACTAACTAATCACCAGCTTAAAAGAGCAAGGATGCAGTCGAATACCTAAACCTTAATGAGTATTTCTTTGTGTGCTCATTGCAGCAAATAATCCATGATCGTTCACATTGCACTAGACCTTTTAAGCACAGTTATAAAAAAAAAAGTTGATTATGAATTCATTTGCAAACTATTTAGGAACATGAATCCTGCTTTAATGAAGGCTCAGCAGTAAAAGACTGCATGTGTATTTGTGTGTAATAAAGCACCCTAATGAAGACTACCGACCTGATCGCAGGTCAAAAATGTTAAAGAATAACAACTGAAGCCAGCGAATATAACATTTTTCAATTCCCTGGTCTAAACAAAGACAGGCTTTCATGCCATAGGTGCGTTTCAACAGTACTACAAAGTGGAATGGGAATTATTGGGTACATTTGGATTTAAGTTATTTAAGTTTAACTGGATTTAATTAGACTGTTTGATAAAAGTGCCTTGAGCTGACCTTTGCTGTGAATGGGCACGACATAAATGAGCAGAATTGAATCTCTGTGACGGACAGGTGACGGGTCCAGGGTGTACCCAGCTCTCACCTAATGACAGCAGGGACAGAAATGAATTTATATTAATATATAACTTAAAGAGAACTGTAGCTGATGTATGAAGGAAAACAAAATACACAAAAAAAACACAAAAAAAGAAACAAAAAAAAAGGTCCAACTTTCCTTTCTAGTCCAATTATTTCTTACATTCACCACATCTGTGAAGTGTTTTCGTTGATTTTCATGAACGCTATCCTCACCGGGCATCTTTAGCTCCCTGTGCTTCATGTTGTGAGTTGAAAATGTTGAGAGTGCCACTGGCTTAGGAACGCATAAACAGTATTTATGAGTAATAGCTTTTAATCTTTCTTCTTTTTTTTAATTTTGTGTGTGTCTGGAACCATGTATTTTTCTCCAGCTGTGCATTAGATCTTTGTAGATTAATCAAACCTCCCTTCCCGTGTATTTATTACACCTCTTTTGCATCCCGTGTACATTATTTAGTCTACTTGAACAATTACTTTGGTCTGTAAATAGTGCAACACCATCAGGAAACGATTGTTTATTTCTAAACATATGTAAAATCTGTACTTAATGGCATTTCCTATATATCTTTTTAATAAGGGCTGTGTGTCAGTATTTATAACCGCTGTCTCGAGTTTATTATTCATTTTATGTCAATATACGACAATACAGACAGATCTATGTTGAGCTGGGTTATATAATGTTCACCCATGGAGAAGACTGAAGTGGGCTTGTAAAGTGTTGGAGAAGGTTCCTTAATTAGATGCAAACAATGGCCCAGAGTAAATGCAATGACAAAACAGCTGAACCAAGTACATGTGTAGATCTTTAACAAGGCTTAAGACCAGTCTTGATGGATGGATAGCTGTAGAAAAGTCAGTACTAACAATGTGAAGCAATGAAAGCAGACGATAGGCATTTCAATGGCAGAAGAAACTCAGATCTGGATAAATGTAGCAGATTGATACCAAAGTGAAAAAAGAGGGCATTATAGCAGATGTTCAGGGGGGGTTACTGTAAATAAGTTTAGAAACAAGAGAAAGTCAGCCTAAGCAGGACTATCTGTGCCGAGTATGGGTTGGAGTTCCTACCCCAAAAGGTTCCGGAACATGCCAGAGCAAGACCCTGTGGGGCTTCCAGATCCAGCCCCATTAGCAGGTACTGGCCATCCAACTGTACATTATGGCGGTCGGCAAGCTAAAGAAAAAGGCAGCAGGCGTAGATGTAGCAATCCTTAATCAGGGACAATCTCTGCTATAGATCCCGGGAACAAAAATTTAAGAGAAAGGCACAGTTCAAGGGAACAGCATGTAGAAAAAGGTCTATATACCATTATATATGATTTATTTGTACCCAAAATAGTCAAAAGTTTTTCTTTTCAAAAGGTTTTAGTCATCCATGCCATTTTTGAAGAAGATATAATAAAGATCTAGAAAATACTTTTTTTTTTGTCTCTTGCCTTTTTTTTCCTGATGAGTGTAACGTTTGACCTTTGAGTGTTTTTGGGAAGCCTTCAAACCGAGCAGGGAGCTCAAATGAGACGACATTTTAACAACAGTCAGCAGTCACCTGTCAAACATCATTATCCATAGCGTATCAACGGTTTGGGAGTACTGCGAAATAGTTGGTGCTGTCAGGACGGAGAGTAAACAACTCTCATAAAGGGGCTTTTTGATGGAGATTCAACGGGCACCGATGCCCTTTTTCAGACGGAATTGTTGAGTATTTTGTCTGCAGACACCAAACTGCGTTGTGTACAAACACACTTTGGCACACTCCAGTTGCCCTTTTTATTAAGTTCATGTTGACGTGACGGTCCAGCTGATATTCTTTCACTAACCCTGTAGCACCTCCTAGTGGGCGGACCAACACAGAGATCCTGGACCTGGAGTCTTCCTGGGTTTGGTAGATTTCTCATAACCCTATCAAAACCGTTCTTCTCAAGAAAGAAAATAAAAGCACAACATTATGCATTCCTTTCCATAGGTTTCCTATCAAAGATGTGAGAGCAGAGAGCAGACAGGACAACTGTTCACGGAGCAAATGTCATTTATGTTATTCCGACTTGACTCAAGTCTACAGTGTGACACATTTAACAAAGTGCTTGGAGTAAATTCATTAAGTTCACAACTCTTTTTAGCAATCACTTTTCATTAACCGGTTCAAAGAACGTGTCACTCAGTGCCACTGAATGTACAGTTAAGACTATTAGTCCCAGAATAAATTTGAATTTAAAACATAAAATTCTGTATAGTTTTGGGCAATTAAGCATTTAGTTGCATTGTTACAACACTGTTAAATGTACTGGCCACAACAAACACAACATTTAGGGGGAGTCGAGTAGTCAGAGATTAGACTACGCTAAAAACAAGTGTCTTAAAAATATCTGTCAATAAACCAAAGGAAAGTATTGAGAAAACAGAGGTAAGGGGCTGTTAACTTTACAGTCGATGTGGAGGAAACTGTTTTGGATTCAGGGGACCGTAAGCTCCATGGCCGAGAAACTGCTCTCCTGAGATTATCCTGGGGAAAGTTTTTCCCCTGGTGAAAAGAGGTGATGAGAGATAAACATTTTGCGTCTCATCAAAAGCTTTAAAAAGGCTTTAAAACTCTAATCTGTCCCAACAAGTTCCCAGCTTTAGCTGGTACGGTGCCTGATGGCACAGACCAAAGCAGCACATTACCAGAAAACTACGTTTTCATAAAAAAATCTGATAAATTGAATTTAATATCTATGCATTTTATGCATTTGATCGCTGTCTTTTCGCATCTTAGCTAACAGCAGGTCAAATCTTGGAATTTTTAATTGAGCTGCTATGGAGAAGCAGCTTCAGAAGGGATGGAAATATTTTAAGGACACACAACCTTCCGTATGAGGACCTCTCGGGTTAACTGCTGCGTCCAGTTTACACATGATCGAGGGGTCACCGAGTGCAATTGGTGTCCAAATTTGCATTCGCTATGGAACTCAGGACAGATCTCATATAAGGCGTGGCCCTGATCAAACCACTCACTATGCTGCTGTGGTGTTAATTCCAATAACACCAGCGGGAATCTTATAGTTTGACTATAGCATTGGATGTCATCTTATGAAATAAGTAGGTTCTTTGAAAGAAATCCGAACTTTGTGAACATAATCTATCCTTCAGAGCAGAAAACTACACCCCAGTCACTCTCCTGGAGGCACTTTTTTGACATACCTGTCAGTACAATACCCAGAAACAGAACCTGAAACTCAAAAATAGGGAAAGTGGCCTCGGCTCAACTGGTTAGCTGCAAACATTAGTGGAAGTCTAGGTTGAGCAGCCAGCCGCTGACATTCTCCTCCTGGGTGCGTGGCTGTGCTTATCGATGTCCGGTTATGTTGTTGCCACCAGGATTGATAACAATGGAGTCCAAAAAGGGACGGAGAGCCTGGCCAAACGGCCTAGAGAGGAAACAGAGCAGTTGGGACATTTTCAGAGAACAAAGATGGAGACATTCTCACCAAAATCCGTCAATAAAAAATATCCCTCAATAATTCAAAGCCAACATAAGTGGAAACGTAAACTGAGCTTTTTAGTGCGATGTATCTTTTTTTTAGATGGCCGAGTTGACTCACGTGGACAGCACTTCAGATGGGAGGTCTGTGATGTACGATGGGATCTTTTTCCCTGTGAGGAACTGAGCCACCTCATTGCTGAAAGAGTTGCAGTTGTGCTCAAACAAGTTGTACTTGTCACGGCTGTTCGACCCAGCGGGCACGGACAGGGCAGAGGGAAGATGGAAATTCAGGGAAAAGAGAAAAGAGGGCAGAGGGCGGAACGTTTTCAGAGAGAAACAGGACGAGTCGATTACTGTGGGCCTTTACGTAGCGCTTGTCTAATCCATTGCTTATGTGCAGCTAGCTTGTAAAATTCAGTGAGTGTAGAAACAATCACTCAAAACCTAGATTTGAACTAAGACAAAATATTCATTTTCCTCTTCTAAACTTTTTTTTCCTGAACATTTTAGTTTCTTGTTTGATGGAGACACCAGATAGGGTGTCTTCCTTTTTCTTTGTCCCTCTCCATTGTTGTGGGATGTAACACTACAGACAATGCATCTACTCTCCAACTGAGCCCTTTAAATTTGATCACACAGCTTTGATTAACAAAGACACCACGAGAAGCTGTTAAGATGTTAATTAATTAACATCAGGTAGTACCTAACAAGTATAAAACTGCATATTTTCATATCTGCCGAGTCTTTTTATATAGTCATTATTTACATGCAAAATAATTGGTGAACTATCAGGCTAACAATTTTTCTTTAAAAAAAAACTGTTGTAATTTATCTGTAATACAGTCAGCTTTTTCTGAATACATGTGCAACATCACGTGCATCGCAGAAAACCCTCAGAGGACCTTTTGACAGGCTGAAAACTTCCAAAACAGATTTCTGGGAAGCAATCAAATGGTTTGTGTTACATTCATTTAATGGCAGATGACACTAAAACAGAACTGAGGTGACTAACTGAGGCATCGTCTTTGGAGTCAGTAATGATAGGGTTACAGCTTATGACAATAACTATTTAGTGTACGGACGTTAAGGTTCACACACTCCACCTACCCAGCTCTGATTTGTCTTTGAAAAACCCCTGGCTTTCCATGGATTTGCATTTCCCTTAAAAACTATGGCGAGTAGACGATGAAAACTGATCTATCCCGAAGGAAGGGCCTTTAGAGGATCATTTTCCTGTTACCTGGCATTCAACATAAGTCACATTTGTATTTACATTGCTTTAAATGTTCTTACCCGTATGTGGACTCAGCCAGGGAGGTTAGATACTCCATAAATATCTCTTCGGAGACTTCAGTAGAGCCCATGTCCACGACAGAGTCAGGCTCACCAAGTGGGGTACCACCCTAAGAAACACAAACACACACACAGACACACACATCTAAGAAGTTGGCCCACTCCATAACACAAAAGAATGGTATGTTAACTGCATATAGTGGATTCTTACAGGTAAACAGCTGTTGATGCCCTCTCCAACAAAGAAGAACTCTTTTCCGTGGACCACAATAGCTGTGTGCCTGTCAGCGGAATCATTCAGGGGAAAAAAAAACACAAGTCCTTTTCACAATCAACCGGATTCAGAGAGAATACCTCTAAAAATGTAATGTTAAATATTCTTCACTTACCATATCCCATCTAGTTGTTTCCCTGTAATGTTAAATAATAAAAAATAAAAAAAATTATAATGCCATTCTGTCTAAGTTTGTATCAATTACAACGATTTCCTGAATTCAGCCACAGAAACTCACCCAACATGACAGGACTCAGTTGACGAGCCATGCCTCTGGACAGGTCATAAACGTACAGTTTCACGGGATAAGAGCCAGTCTGCTCCATGATGACACAAAGTGATATCCTCAAAATAATCCTAACCTTGTACAATTTACGGAATTGTACCACACCAAAACTTGGCAAAACTAGCGAGGAAGAGAAAACAAAACTTGAAGTACTTTGAGATGTAACTGCTCCAAACAAGGAAACCCGATTATTTAACCATTAAGGTGTTTCTCTTTTGTAGACAATGAAATCCGAAAAAGAGGTTAATTGAATAATGTCTGTAAATGCTGTGTCACCGTCTTACAGTGAATAAAAACATGACTTGTTAAAAAAGTGCATTTAGACAAACGCTTCCGGTCTATTCCCGTTAAAACTCCTCCTATTTTACTATGATTGGGTAGAGTCTTAGATTGACAGGTAACTCACCCAATGGATAGTGAGACGTTCAAAACGGGGCTGTCAGCGTGCTCGTTCTCGTGTTTGAGCGCGCCAGTGATTGAAACTAGCCTTGTGGGCAAATAAGCTGGGTCAGGTAAGAAAATCCTGCAACAACAAGGGAATATCTTAAGTTTTACGTATGTCGTTGGAGACTAATTTATGTACTTTGAACGCTCTAACTTACAGGACGAAGTGGTTTCTCAAGAGTGATGGGAATATTAGTAAAAAGTACTGAAGTTAGTAATGAGCTAAGCTAGCTAACGTTATTGTTTTGCTAAAGTTAAATACTTTATTAGTTAGGATTAATAATGTTAGTGTGAGACTATTTTTAAAATTAGCAATACAACTGGTATTGCTTATAAAAAACCATTAATATAAAGTAAAACTGAGCACAATAAGCCGGTTTATTTATATGTAATGACGACCGAGAGGTGGCGATTGAGCAGACTGCAGAGGTTGAGGAGCTCAGCGTCGGCTGAAGTGCCTGGATGGAGTCACTCAACAAAACAAGGTGCCTTGTTTCTTAAACTGATTGAGTCGTGTTACACACGTAGAAGCGGTGCAAATGGCAGAGTGGAACGCCTACTACCAGATCGAGGATGGGGAGGAAGCGCAAGAAGAAGGGGAACAGACTGAAGGTTTGGCAGAAACATTCTCACTATCCTGTGGGTCCTGACGGGATAAGATGGCAACCTGGACAGATCAGGAGCTCTGTGTCTTTGACAGGAGACTACAGAATATCAGGAAGAGACAGTCTGGTGTTTTTGGTCGACGCCTCTAAGGAAATGTTCGTTAAAGGGGAAGATGGCCAGCCCTCTAACTTCGACATGACCATGCAGGTAAACTGCTGAGTTGTTGTTTTTCTGCTTGTTATTTATCCACTTGCTGCGTCTTCGTCTGTGCTATCTGATTTTGTTTGTTAACGGCCATAATTGTGCTTTTAACAACTCAAACGAATTAGAAATCGGTACATATATGATCCTCAGCCTAGAATTTTGAATATTTGCATTGTTTTTGTTGCAGGTTGTCCGCACAGTGTACACCAGTAAGATCATCAGTAGTCACAGGGATCTGGTTGCCCTGGTTTTCTACGGGACAGAGCAGAGCAAAAACCCCAGGAACTCATTCAAACACGTTTACGTGTACCACGACTTAGATGAACCTGGTGAGGCGCCACACCCTTTGTTCAAACACATGATTGCACTTCACAAAACTTTGGTTTCGGTGTGAAATACAACTCGTGTAGAGAGTTTGTTCATAGATTTTAATGTCCAGATATATTTTCATTTGCCTCTATGGTGACGTGTTAGGCATAAACTTGAAGGTGCATCAAAAATCAAAGATTGAACCGATTCTTCGGTGGTTTTTTCATATTTTGCAAAGGTGCAAAGCGGGTTCAGGAGGTCGATGCTCTGCGAGGCGACAAAGGCGCCCGGCTGGCGGCGGAGACCATGGGCAGCGGGGAGACGTCGTTGGGAGACGCCCTGTGGTGCTGCGCCAACCTCTACAGCGACATCAAGCTTCGCCTCTCGCTCAAGCGGGTGATGATTTTCACCTGCAGGGACCAACCACACGGGGGCGACAGCGCCAAGGACCGACAGGCTCGCACCAAAGCCAGCGACCTCAAGGAGACCGGTGGGTCTGCTCTAAACCCCTACAGTTATCTATTTCCCTCTAAAGAAACAGCCTCACATGTGGACTCTCTTTCTGAGTCGGTTACACATTTCTGACCTGAAATGTGTAACTTCTCTCTTCTCTCAGGTGTCGTTATTGATTTGATGCACCTGATGAAGCCAGGCGGCTTCGACGTGTCTCTCTACTTCCGTGACATTGTGAGTCCACCTGAGGAGGAGAGCGAGCTGGGGCTGCAGCTGAAGCCCTCCGACAAGCTGGAGGTCCTTCAGAGGCGCGTGCGTGCCAAAGAGCAGAAAAAGAGAGCCTTAGCCAGGTAGAGAGATGCTGGGACTTTTCATTCCCATACGTATAAAAGTGACTTTTACTTCCAATTCTGTCTTTACTCCTCAGTTTTAACTTCCTGTCTTTTCTTTTCCCCCATCTTTATCTTCTCTGCGGGTAGGTTAAGCTTGTGTCTCGGCGAGGGTTTAAATGTCGCAGTGGGAATGTACGCAACTGCCGTGTCAGCTCGGAAGCCATCCGCCATCAAGCTTTACAGGGAAACCAACGAACCGGTCCGCAGCAAAACCCGCACCTTCCACACCCAGACCGGCAGTCTGCTGCTGCCCAGTGAGATCAAGAAAGCCCAGGTACGAACAAGCTCCGAGCGGCCGGGAGTCTGGACGGCTTTTACACGTGTTGAGATTATTTCAGAGAAGCATCTCAAGTTGCGTGTGCGTCCACCAGGTGTATGGCAATAAACAGATTGTGATGGAGCGGGATGAGGTGGATGCCATCAAGAAGTTTGATGACCCTGGTATGTTTCTGATTGGATTCAAGCCGATGGAGAAACTCAAACTGCATCACCACATCCGGCCTTCTGTCTTTCTCTATCCGGAGGAGGGTGAAGTAAAAGGTAAAATTGTTTTTTTTATGTTTGATTTACTCACAAACTGAAGTTGAAATATTTAAAAAGTGGTATTAACACATTTAGAAATATATAAGGAGTATATATATTCAGTATAAGTAAGTCCTGTGGAAATGGACATTAAATAGTAGATCTTCGAAAAATTTGCTAAAATTTTAGTTCACATTATCAATTAATTATTAAGACATTTTCCTATAGTGAGGGAGGAATTCCTCGCTTCTAATTCGCGCTCTCCCCTCAGGCAGCGCCTGTCTGTTTGCGGCCTTGTTGAAGAAGTGTAGCGAGAGGAACGTGTTCGCTCTGTGCCGCTGCATCTCCCGCCGAAACTACCCGCCCCGATTCGTCGCCTTGGTGCCTCAGAAGGAAGAGGTCGATGAGGGGAACGTACAAATAACACCACCGGGTAATCCACGACACAAAAGGGACAGGAAATCAGAGGCCATCGCGACTGACAGGCCCGAGAGAAAAAAAAAACTGCTGGAAATCGTAACATCAAGCTATAAGTCTCGAGTGACCTGCTTATCTAGCATGTGGCTAATTAGCATTTGGATATAAACGGCATCAGCTGAAGTCACTCTCTGACTATGAGCTGTGATAATATCATATTACGTACATGGCATCTATTTTCTGTGCATCAGTCGCAGCACGCCTAAATAACTGGATCAAAAAGACAGACACGAGTACAAAGCATTACCTTTCAGTAGGCTCGTCCCGATCCGATATCTGGATCGGATCGGCTGCCGATATTCGCAAAAAACTGTGTATCGGCCGGCATGAGAAAATGCCGATCCAGACTCCCAATCCAGATTTTTTTAAAGTCCGATCCCACACGAGTGTTAGCATCTCCTAACCCACAGGTATGTGTCCTACCCATTAAGTTGTTAAAAGAGTAAATCCCTGTTCAACATGAATCTGTCAACTAAGTAAGTTGGCTAAATAACTTTAAACTTTAATACGTGCTCTGATAGGTCGGTATCGGATCGGAACTGAAAAAAGCTAGATCGGGACATCCCAACCTCAGTGGTACAGGCAACAAACCGTGTTTCATTTAATTACAGCACAAAAGTGTCATTGCCATTAGGGCGAAATAGCTGTTTGGGGTTATATGCTTTGTGCAAGAATTATTTTCTTTTAAGGGTTTGTTTTTTTGTTTATTTTTGTACTATTTTGGAGCCTGACTTTGAGTGCATGACCACTGAGCAGGAACCCACACTCGACCATAGCAGTAATCGGAGCAGTCATTTTCATTTTTGTGGTGCAGTATTTTTTTTTTTAACTAGATGTTTTGTTTTTTTAGTAAAAAAAAATTATTTATTTATTTCTATAATGAAACAAACTGGTCATTGTTTGTTATTTTTAAAGCCATTCTGCCTGTCGAAACTGCTCAAAATCATCAATACTAGGCAGCTTTGATTCAAGTTGATGGTATGATTCACATGCTGAAAGAATTATACATCCGATGATGTTAAAAAGATGTAACGGTTGAGTTTTTATTCCCACCTCGCATCAGGCGTTATAGTGTAAATTTAGTTTTCATGGCCTCAGTACACACCCTTTAATCAACGCTCAGTCGGTGTTTGTGTAACAGCTTTCGACTCCCATTTGCCTTCATCAGGCTTTAACGTCATCTACCTGCCGTATGCTGACGACTTCCGGACGTTGGATACTCAGCGTTTTCCGACAGCCTCGAAACCGCAAGTGGACAAGATGAAGGAAATAATCACAAAGCTCCGCTTCAAATACAGGTAACTTTAGGAGGCAGGAACAACTGGACTGTTGTGACTAGAGACTGGAAACTTAAGGAAGTGGGCCGTCTTAGGGCTTAACAGCTTTAGAGGGAATATCTTGAAAAGTGCAGCTGCATTGATTATGTTTCTCATTCTTTGTGATGTCATCCAGGAGCGATGCTTTCGAGAACCCCGTGCTGCAGCAGCATTACAGGAACCTGGAGGCCTTGGCTCTGGATATGATGGCTCCAGAGGACAATGAAGATCTCATCAGTGAGTCACACAAAAAAAACAAATCCTTGAGGCTATTTGGACCCCCAGCAACTGCTCTCTCTCCTTTATCTCACACTGTCTCTATATCTTTTTTTCCCCCCTTCTGCTTCAGTGCCAAAGGTGGAGCAGATCGATCAGCGTTTGGGAACTTTAGCCCAAGAATTTAAAGATCTAGTCTACCCTGATGACTACAATCCAGAGTACAAACCTGTCGTTAAACGCAAAGCAGGTCAGAGTACAAACTTTTTTTTTATTTTATTTTTTTTCCTTAGCCAAAAAATTGAAAGGTGGTGGATTAGCTATGAGTACTCAAGGGTATGTATGATTTGCTTTTCAAGTAACCTTTGAATTGTTGGTAAATGAGCATGAGTTGATTAATCTGGTCGTCTGACCGGCCCCATGCAGCTGATGGCGGCAGTGGCAGTGCCAAGAAGCCCAAAGCGGACGTGTCCGAAGACGACATAAAGGCCCACATGCAGAGCGGCACTCTGGGAAAGCTGACCGTGCCCGTGCTGAAAGAGGCCTGCAAGCAGTTTGGGATTCGGACCACCGGGACCAAAAAACAGGAACTGATAGATGCTCTGATTGGCCGACTGGGTCCTTGAGGACTTGCTATTGGATACATTCTCTCCAACCACCTCACACAAACCCAGGGTTTTTGTCTGTGTCTGTTAAGACTGGTCACTAGTTTGGAAGCATTATGTTAAACTCACAATGTGGCCTCTTTTTGTTTTGTTCAGGTTTCTGTTCAGCTGAAGTAGTTGTGGTGAATGAAATTTCTAACTGCTGCAGATATTGAGTCTTTTTCGTGATTGACTGTGGTGAGTACATCTCTCTTACCATGTGATGAGGTCTTAATCATTTGAAAACACTGTATTTGAAACAGGACATCTATTTGCACTTGCAAGAAAAAAAATAAAGCCTTTAATAAACATTCATGTCATTCCTTTATTTCAAACACTGCACGAGTTGGGTCTTTGTACATCTTAAGCTGTATTTCCAGTTCTGCTTAAAGCTGGGAAAAGGGCGTGTTCTTCCAAAGTAAGGCTCGGCATTATCTGCATACTTGAGCTCTCTTACCGGTTTGCGTAGCACAATAAAATAAAGGCAGTGTTCTTGTTGAGGGCAGGCCAGCACAGGCAAACACGTGCTCACGTAGCAAGAAGAGCGTAAAAACTGACTGAAGGCAGAGAGCATTCCCTGGAGAGGTGTATCCAGCATTTTGGTCCGATAGAGGCTAGGACAGACTTGAAGGTTTGAATCTACAGGATTTTTCATGTTTTGTTTACCCTGCCTGCCTTTTCCACCTATCAACACTAGTGCTTTCTTAATAGATTTATTTATCTTTGGCTGTAACTTTAGAAGTCAGTTGAAGTCCTTTCATATTACTAAATAACTTATTGTTTCATGTGAACATTTCGGGCTTTTGTATTGTAAGTTTTGAGGACAAGACGCGATTCCTGTTTTCACAACCTTCCCACCGCCTGATGCTCCACGGACTGCTGAGAAATGGAGTGTCGGTGTGACGGGGACAAAGCTGAGGATGCTGGTGCAGGTGGGAAAGCTCAGAAAGTTAACGCTTATACCAAGCTTGTGAAAACAAGTTCTATTTCTAATGACACTAAAAATATTTTCCCCTAAATTTAGTATCTAAAGTTACCTGCTGTCATGATGATGCAGGAGTGGTGTGGAATGCAAACCCTGACGTGTTTATTGGTGTAAACAGCTAATCTTAAACTAACTACCCCACCTCCGATCTTTGTTTAGGTTGGTGGCTGGGCGGCAACAATGTCCAGATGGGAGCTTTCGCCGTGGTGGGCTATCTTCTCTACAGATTCTCACAGAGTCAGTCACCCCCACACACATTTTCCTTCCAAAGGTTAATGCTTGAATGACTTGTCCTTGTTAAGCTCTCTGAAAGGAACTCTTTCTGAACCTTTTACATACACATCCACGAATCAAATACACAATTACCAACGCAGTTCCCCTTTAAGGATTAATGAAATACCTTCGGCATACTTTGACAAGATACTGAAGAGAGACGGCCTGACAGGTCCCTTATCCAGTGTTTACTTACACCTCGATTCAAAGATCCAGAGTGCGTATTTGACTCGACTGGAGGGTCTGACGTTTTTAAGATCAGTGATAGCATTCGAAGCAGGTCACCAAATGAGAAAGCGTTTAGGAAAACTCACAACAGCACACAAAGCAAACCTGGTTCAGACAGCCACAAACTCAGATTCTGGCCTGTAATGTTGTTATCAACATTTCCCTGGTCTGTTGTTCAACCGCTTATAATGGCTGTGTCATTGGTGACTCATTTAGGAGCAGCTTTATCATAGGGTAAACTTTGAACCGGCCCAGGTTGTCAAAGCATGGAAGAATACACTGAGAAGTTTGGCAGAATTGTATAAAAGAATCTGACTACACGATTCCTTTATCACACATTGACTAACATTGAGAACTGTTGTGACCCAAAGATTGACAGGTTAGTTTCAGTGACTGCTGATAGTACAGCTAGGCAGCAATGTACTGTAACACAGTTGTACAATTCAGATTTTTTTAATCCTTGTCAAGAAATAAAACAGACTGGGTAGAGCACTACTTGACCACTTTTAAATTTTTTCTCTCCTTTTGGATTTTAAAAAATGGGAAGAGATAAAGGAGGATGTTTAACATTTCCTGGCACAGTGATGTAGATTTCTAAAGTAAATCTAAACAACCTGATTTTAAAACCAAAAGGACCTAAAGAAAAACAGTTTTTTTTCATTTTATAAGAGAAAATCTCCCCTTAGAAGGGGCATTGACAAGCCAAACCCAAAAATGCATGATACATTCTTGTTGTACTGTTCGGAAAACAGTTTCTTGAACAGCAGCAGATCATACATTTGTAGGCGGATAGCTGTAAACACGGATCACACGTTTGGCACATTTAAGCTACCATCCAGCCTTTTTATTAAAAATGTATTAAAACATTTCAAACTCTGCTCTCTAAAATGACTATTCAGCAAATTATTCTTCCATTAGTCAGTTTTTTTTTATCAGTCACTTATACAAGGAATAAACTCAACAATATGAGCCACATACTGATGTGAATATTTTTTATTGATAAAGCTAAGAAAAATAACTAGCAGTAAACAAATCTGATGCTGAAAATTGTTTCATATTCCTGCAGCTCTCCCAGTTCTGATCCGATGGCAAATTCGTCTCTTCTGCTATTTAACTGGTGAGTTTACCAGATGTTTTGTCCTCCTTCATGAAGCCTCTTACTGTCCACCAGCAAGTCTGATTGAAAAACGATAACGATATGGTGATAGTAATGTATAAGTTATCGTTAATGTTTGTGAACAAAGAAAAACAGATTAACAAAATGTACCTGTTTTGCCTTAGGCTTGTCGACTCTGTGGGGCTGGGTGAGCAAGTTAGTAGGAACCCTGCGTGGTAAGCTCTCAGTTCACAGAAAAAAAGAAAAAAAAAAAGAACGTTAGTTACATTTGAGCCCAAAATGACCTTTATTTCCCTCTTTCACTTTTGGTCTCAGGAATTAAGAACATGGTTATATGGCTGTCTCGATTTTGGCGGTTTATGGTTGGTGAGTGAATCCCGCCTTTCCTCTGTGATTATTCTGAGATAATGCTGTTTCACGAAACCTGAATTTATAGTTTGCTTCTCCCTCAAGGCTTTCCCTCCAGGTTCAAGTGGTTTGCTGCTGTCATCAAAGCCATGACAGGTCATTTCACAATAATTTTATTTACTACGTGTTTCCTTCTTTTTCTTCCTCTTTCCATAACTGCGCCTCAAAAACTTCCACCATATCCTATACAATCCAAGAGTCTCTTCAGCAGAGATGAAAAACTTACAATTAATTTGTACTTTTTGCCATTTATTTGTTTATTTATTAGTTGATTTATTGACTGTTTTTCTCTTTAAAGAAATAGTTCACTTTTGCATAACCATTAGACTGTTAATAGAGTTTTGAGATTTTTTATTTTCTTCCTAAAATACATTTATCATTTAGGGTCACAAGGAGAGGAATCTTCAGAGTCACTGACAGATACTAGCCTTCAGAAGTTGACCCACGACCTCTCCAGCATCAGCTCTACCCACACACAAGGCCTGAGGCTGATCCTCCTGGGGCCCAGCGGTGGAGGACGGACCTCACTGGCCGACACCTTGCTGGGTGCCGGTGGGACAATCGTCTCCAAGGATCCACTCACGCAGAGCACCAGGTGGAGGACGGTCGTGGACGGTAGAGACCTTACGCTGATTGACACCCCCGATGTTCTGGGAACATCAATGCAGAACGACCAGAGAGCCAGGGAAGCTCTGAGGAGCCTTCAGCTCACAAACCCTGGACCACATGCTGTCTTGTTGGTGATCCGGGCCCGGGGAACCAGCACTGGGATAGACCAGGATGCCACACGGGCAATCCGAGCCACCGCCGAGCTGTTTGGAGACGGAGTCTCCGAGTACATCATCCCGCTGCTCACTCACGCAGACTGCCTGCGTCGACAGGACGACGTGGATGAGGACGCGTGGAATCTGAAAGGGATCACAGCTCTATGTGGCCAGAGACCAGAGCTGGTGGATAACAGGTCAGACCTGCCGCCCAAAGAGCAGAGCGCGCTTCGCCAGCAACTGCTGAAGCGTGCGATGCAGATGAAGGAGGGGGGGGAGCATTTTGCTCATGAGCTGCAGAGGAGAGAGGACCATCTCAGGGAGGAGCTGCTCACCGACATGTCCACTGCACTGGCCAGAAAACTGGGGCACATGTAAAGAAGGGAAAATGTTGGTGCTTTTTTGTGTATTTGTGGGTCGGTAGGGAAGCACGGTGGGAAAAAGGGACAAAGGGCTTCGTTTTTATGTTAGGTCTAAGGATCCGTTGTAGCCAGAGGCATTTTTGTGACACTCCGGTTTAACAGGAGCAGGGGGTTTTTCCATTTCATGTCAAAAAATCTTTGATTTACCAATTTTCTGTCAGCATTTGCAGAGTCAACATTCCAAGGCTCATAAATTCAAATTTGGGCCTCTTTTTTTTTGCTCTTCCATATATTTTATATTTTAATGCCAGTGTCAAACTTTAAAGATAATCAGTACAAATTAAGTGAGATCAAATTGAGAGTAGAATTCATCAGCATGTTGTAATTTGTATTTGTATGTATTATATAAACTACCTTAAAGTTTTAACCTATTTTTGTTCTTCTGCAGAGGACAATTTTAGATGATGTGGAACATGCATTTAAGAAATTATATTGATACAAGCAACATCATTTAATTCAAAACAGACTTTTTTCTGTCAGATTTTTGTGTATACATACATACATACATACATACATACATACATACATACATACATA